AGGCACCCGGGTGCATGCTCTTTGCCGATGTCATCGTGCTTGTCGGGGAAGAGGGCATCGAGGTACAGAGCAGACTGACGGGGTGGCAACAGAGGCTGGAAAGTGTGGGCTTGAAGATCAGCAGATCCAAAACCGAATATCTGTGCTGTGATTTCGGCGGTCTTTCCAGTCCTGTACCCATGTCGTTGGATGGCGCTATACTGCCTACCTGCTCAGATTTCAAGTACCTCGGTTCCCTCATTCAAGGCGACGGCGAAATAGATAGAGCTGTGCAGCATAGGATTAACGCAGGGTGGATGAAATGGCGACAGGTCACAGCCACAACGTGCTATCCCCGAATGCAAATAAGGCTGAAGGGGAAAATTTACAAATCGACCATCCGACCTGTCGTCATGTATGGAAGTGAATGCTGGGCCGTCAAGAAGAAGGATGAAAATAGATTGCATGCGAATGAAATGAGAATGTTACGATGGATGTGTGGTGTGACAAGGATGCATAAGATAAGGAATGAGTATATAAGAGGAAGCCTGAAAGTAGCGCCAGTGGTAGAAAAGGTGAGAGGAAGCAGATTGGCATGGTTTGGGCATGTGATGCGGAGGGATGAAAGTATGTCACAAAACGAGTATTGAATATGAATGTGGAGAAACACACGGGCAGAGGAAGGCCGAATAAAAGATGGATCGATTGTGTGAAGAGTGATATGAGAATGAAAGGAGTAAGTATGGAAATGACGGCTGATAGAGAGGAATGGAACAAGAAGATTTACTGCGCCGACCCCAGATAATGGGAAATGGTTTAGAGAATGATGATGATCGAAATGTTGCTAAGGCGAATGCTACACGCGTGATATTTCTAGGTTCATGACATTTAATGAAAGTGTAGTATCAAGTATTGACGAATCGCGATACGGATCACAGAATTTCTAGATTTCCGAAAATCCATATCGCGATCCAACGATCGTGATAAAAATTGCGCATGTTGTGTTACTGCGATATGGGTCACGTCAGTCTGCTCTGGAGAAGCGATAGAGGAAGGCGACTTTTGTAGCGATGCGGGCGAAATCGCGAACGAAAGCGAGAATCATGCTTCGACGGGACCATCTACAATCCATCAAAAATATTTACAGGATTTTATATTATGTTTAGAAACAACGCCCATATTAAGGGAAACATCGTGTGATGGTTTTAAAAACAATTGTAAGCCCATGGAGGTAATTCGGAAGTTACTACCAATTTATAAAAAATAAAAATGACGCTTCAATAGAAGATGTTTGAAAAAAAAACGTTAAAATCAAATTACTGAAAAGAATTAAAGAAAATATTGGATTCTAAACGATCTGGGGCTGGGACTGACTAAATTTATAAACCGAAGTCATGGGTGTGTTTTTTAAAAAAAACAACAACCCATAAAAGAACATTAAAATATCGTCCTGTAGCTAAAAATGTAATGTGAGTGCCAATTTTTCTTTTGGAGTAAGCTTGTCTCATTTCAGTATTCCGTTTAATTAAAAAAGAGTGACCAGTTTCAATAAGTTGTCGAAACATTTATCACTTATGGCAAAATAATTTTTGTAGTCATCCATTGCTCCAGTAAGTCTAATTTCATCAAATAAATTTAAATGGGTATATTTTCCTCTAATTCGGTACCACTGTTTAGCCCAGATTCTCCTTTTCACTCTCCTTTTTAATATTATTGCCATAATGATAGCCACATAAGCTTTATCTTCATTTCTGTCCATTTCAGATATGTCTTCACTTTACAGTTTTGTGCTCAACACTGACGTGATCCGTAATGAACTTGTAGGGTGTTTCAATATGGATCGCGATACGTCATTCAAGATCGCGTCCCAGGTCGCGATAAATATCACGCGTGTAGCATTCGCCTAAGAATAATAAGCGCATATTCGAGAGCAATCAAATGACTCTGTGTTTGGTGTTCTGATGAAGCTTCACTTATTGGAGAATAAGAATTGTATGATGAACTTGTATTACATTAGTACATTCACTTTGACCGTCGATATTTCCGATCTCTTTAAGAGACAATATAAGATCAAACGAACTTTTCAAGTGAAGTTCGATCACTATTATACGAATTGCTTCATTTGAAGATATAAATATTGACCATGTAGTCCCTTAAGAATGAAGGTAATCATATTTATTTTCGTTTTTCTGTTCGTTGAAGTAATCTACTTTTCTAATCCCAAAAATATTCGTTTAGATGTTGGAGATGCTGACCAACCTAAGATAAAACTTATAGCTAATGCGAAGTACCTCGGGAACGCTTCAAGACAGAGTTCCATGGAGCCTGAGCACATGCCGGAGCCCGAGCTTGCTCCGGAACCCGAGCCCACGCCGGAGCCACCATTAAAGCCACTGGCTTTATAGGCAACTTCAACGGAACAAAACCCGAACAGTGAATCAGCTGAAACAGAATCGGACCCTGAATTTTAAGAAGCCCTCGGTGAATCCACCAGCGATACCCCAGAGTTTGAAGAAAGAATTCACGAGAGCTTAGCCAAATTGTGGTGTTAGCGACGCGTCTATAAGAATATTTCAATTTATTAGTTAACCGATTACGAATAGCTTTTAAAAACATATTATCGAGCAATAATATTCTAAAAAGAAAACACTTAGTTGAATCTTAAAGAAATATCGAATTAATGATTGGAAGATCTTGGGTTCGATTCCCAGGCCGGACTAGTTTGTCGTTTTCTTAGTAATATTTTCTTAATAAATTCATTTTCATCAATTTTTAAGATATAAATTATGTTTCCGGGTTCAGTTCCCCGGTTGAAATCACCTTTCCAATAGTATTGTTAATTTAAAGGAATATTAAAATAAAGTTAGAGACCAGGTTTTGTTCTCCGGTCGAAATGATCACTTTGTGAATAAATAGAATTAATGGAGATTAATTGCATAAGTATCATCTTATATAAGTTTGATCCGTTTTTTATGAGAGTGAAATGTTTATTTTCAATGTTTGATTCATAAAATGTTTGTTTTTGTTATCTGATAAGGAACATGATAACTGATAAAAATCTAGTTAGAAATAATTTCCTACATTTGGGAGTCGTGTAGAATCAGTTGTTCACCTAGTATTGGTTGATAGCAGTGTGTGCTAAATTTGTCACATTTGAGAGTCGTGTAAGAATTAGTTGTTTAAATAGCGTGAGTTCATAGCCTCGCGTTAACCTTGTATCCTAAGTACAAAATAAGTAGAAATTTAAATATTTGCAAATTTCAGCAATTTATGTAAAATTGACTTGTAAAACATTTTAGATTGACTGTATGAGCAAAATAGGTGAATTCTGTGTTATTTTTATGTGAAAATTCCTTTGGATTAGTGAAATATTGATAGTTTGTGTAAGAAATTTAAAAGTGTTTTAAATAGTAAAATGTATATGAAAAATATAAATTAAACTATTGTATTAGTTAAGATACTTATATTTTCAAATGAAGAACATTGTTTCAACCTTATATGTTAGAAATTTAAGGATTCTAACTTAGTACATATGTTGTAAAATAGGATATTTTGTTGAATAAATAAAAGGTTTTTTGTGATATAAAAATGTAACTTATATCATAGTATAGATATTTTTGTGCTATCTTTATAAATAAAATGTATAAATGTATGTCTTATACAAATAATGATATCGTTCGGGACCATCTACCAGTATATATAATAATCAAGAAAGATAAGTGTATAGGGAAGTGATAGGGAAAATAATTACTCTCTCACGAAACGGTTTGAAGATAATTACTGTTTTATTCCCAAGGAATCCTTCAGCTTTAAAATAAGTACAGTTCGTTGGTGTCGATAGCGCTGCACATATTGAATAATTAAGGCGTTGGGACCGGACCGAGGTGGCAAGAAAACGTCCACGCAGAGCCGCCGTCCATACCCGAGTTCGAAGCAACAACAACCAGCGTCGAAGCCTTCAGCAGCAAATAAGCCTCGCACCCCGGCGCCGCAGTATCTGAGAATACTTTTTTTAATTGTTGGTTGGAGAATTTCATACCATCCAATAATTTTAGATTGGATACAAAATGGTCCGTACATACCCTTTTGCAAGGAAGTGTGCCAAATAAACGTCCCTAGCAGTACCCTTTCGGAGTTAGAACACCAGGAAATGTCAACTGCGATTCAAAAACTGGTTGACTTAGGTACCGTAACAGAATGTTTTCAAAGTAGAGACTAGTTTGTCTCCAAAATATTCATGACTTTCAGCAGAAAGTGTTTTGTATTATTTTTGAAACCATTAAATAAATATGTTTCAAAGTTTCGTTTCAAGATGGAAGATCACCGAACAGCGGCAAAGTTAATATCTCAAAATCAGTATTAAATTGAAATCTACACAGATTCTTCACGAACCGGCTGGGGTGAAGTGCGCGATGAAGAACGCGCTCATGGTAGGTGGTCAGTTAGTGAACGCAATTACCATATAAATTATCTGGAACTATTGGCAATCTTTATTGGACACAAAAACTTGGCATCTTAAGAAACTAATAGCGCGATAATGTTACGGGTAAATAACACTACAGCATCTTGTTATGTAAATAGCACGGGTGCAATATAGCAATTTTGTATTGGTGCGAAAAGAGTAATTATGATAAAAATTTTGGTCTACGCGTCATACGTCAATGCTAAAGAAAACTGGGCTGACGCTGAATCTAGGATTATAAACCCTGACACCGAATGAGAACTCTCCTCTACCAGCTTTCAAACACACAATCAAATATCGAATTATTCGCTTCCCGCACCTATGGCAAATGCACAAAATTTGTTTCTTGGTGAGCGGATCCAGATGCGGATGTAGACAGGCGTCTACAGCCATTGCATCTGGATCACACCTCCGCTGCGAAACTCAAAGGGCGAAACCGCAAATTTCGCTGAGTGAGTTCTTTGGCGGCGAAACAATAACGAAATTCCCTGCTCTAACGTACAAAACTGACTATGATGTCTCTTTCTAACATAATTTCGCTCATTTGCTCAGGCGCCGTCTATATCTCCACCCGTTGTCCGCCATTTTTCAGCGGTTTCGCGTGTAACTTGGACGCGTCTGTAGCAATCGACAATTTTTAAGAGCGAAATAGGAACAATGGATTTGGAATTTACTGAAAAACTTATACAAGCAGTGAGAAATAGAACCGTTTTGTACTTACTAAATCACCCTGACTACAAAAACAACACAAAAAAAACTACAAGCGTAGAGGGATATCCAGAGAGAGTTAAACGAAGAAGGTAAGTATAATTATTTATTATTTACAAGGTATACGTATCAATTATCTGTTCTGCGTTGTGCAAAGTATCGAACAAATTAGTCTCTGATGTCACATGCCGCAAATGATGACCGTGCGCGGTTTCCATTGAGTCTGTTTTGTGGAAGAAAGGCTCCAAGCTGTTTTGTTTCTAAACCAGAGCTTACACGTTCGGTTGACTCTTTTGTCTGTATAAAATTGTGTAAACAACAAGCTGCTTTCACAATTTTTATGGTATTTCTCAAATCTGTTTCAAAGGGTCTTAAGAATATCCTAAATTTTTGTGCCATTATTGCAAATGCATTTTCCACAACTACCCGAGCTGTACTAAGTGACTGATTAAATATTTTTTATCTCTATCTTGCAAAGCTGCATCTCTTACAAAAGGTCTCATCAAAAAAGTTTCAAGTTTAAATCCACCATCGCCAAAAAAATATAAGGCAAAGAATCTGTTTCTCCTTGTAATGGTTGTGGATTTGGTATATTAAGTTGGCCGCTCCTTAATAATCGAGCAAAAGATGTTGCTTCAAATATAGTACTATCGGCATCTTTCCCATATGATCCAACATCTACAAAAATAAATTTATAATTGGCATCTACCATAGCCATTAAACAATTGAATATTTACTTTTATAACAATAAAACATTGACCCGCTACACGGAGGGCACTATATGGTTATGTGTTTTCCATCTGTGCTACCAAGGCAATGAGGAAATCCCCATTTTTGAAAAAACTCTTCTGCCATATTCAGCCAATTTTCCTCTGTGGGTATTGGAAGGACAAGTGGTCGTAACATATTCAACAATTCTTCACAAACTTCAGTCACTATTTTCGAAACTGTTGAATTACCCATACGATAAGAAAAAGATAGTGTCTTGTAGGTGTCTCCAGTTGCCAGAAACCTGTAACAAAAAAAAATTAAGTTGGAAGAAAACTGTTGCTGAATATATCTATTTTTTTATACCACATAGGTGGCTAACAAGCACCAGTGGTTTGTATGCTTCCTCCACCAGTGGTGGCGGAAGCATACAAAGTAATGCCGCAAAATAACGCAAAGTAACGCCTGAATCAATTAATTATCTTCTTTGTTTCAGTTCCAGCTTTAAAAGCAAAATGGAAAAATTTAAAAGATACTTTCAGAAAATTCAAGCAATCAAAACACAGCTCTAGTGACCAAGCAACAAAAAAAACTACAGAATTGGGCCTGGGCTGAACAAATGTCATTTCTTGAATCATCTACTACCTCCAATCAAACGGAGAGCAGCATTATTCTGGATAATGAATCTTCTCAATACGAAGAAACATGCCGTACCAATTCTTCGGTGGCAAATGAAGAGTCAGCAAATCAACTTACGCACTCCACTTCTTACGACGCGACAACCGTACCAGAAAATACATAACAATCCGGCTAATCACATCAAATATACAGGCGATAGCGAAGAATAAACATGAATTCTACAGACAGAATGGTTGAGTACATAGAAAATAGAAGGAAACGAAACTCTAATTATGAGAAAGTTACGGTTAAATGTGTCGGTATTGATTTGTTATTTTTGGGTTATGCAGACTCTTTTAAAAAAACAAAGCAAACGGACTCAAGTAAACGTTAAATTCGATATCGCAAAAATATTGATGGAAGCTGAGCTTAATGATCTTGAGACTGCTGAAAGAAACACATCTTCACGTACTTCAAACTACTCAAATGATATAACCACTCATGCTCCTGCTACTCCGGGGACCCACTGGGAAAGCAACACATCTTCACATACAACAACATACTCAAGCATGCATGCTCCTATTACTCGAAATGACTATGAGGCAGCACATCAAGATTCTTACGACAGTAATACAACTCTTGTTACTTAATACATGCTCTTGTTACTCCGGGAAACTACTCCTTGATAAGTAATGACAGTAATACCGCCGAACCTACTGATTTGTGTACATATACATATTTTTCTCAATTTACATCATTATAATTGTTTTTAAATTTTAATTTTTTAACTTTAATTTTAATATAGGTACTTACCTCAAAGTTAATCCCAGTCTTTCTTTGCTAGAAATAGCATCTCTAAACCTTGTATCTAATTTAGTAATACAAGGCTTTATAAGGTTATGTAACTCTTCAAAACTGTCTGGTGTCATTCTGAAGTAAGAATAAAAACGGTCTTCATGTGACTGTAACTCATTACATAATATATTTTCTCCCAACTTCTTTCTTTTTTTATTGATATCATGCACCAAGGTGCGACGCCTTTTTAAAGTAGTTGACCACAGTAAGATTAGTTCCTCCTCTGACTCCGAAAGTGACGACATTTTCTTTCGATTGTTATTTCTCAACTGTTCTAGTTTTAGGTTTCGCTAATATAGTTTCGCGTAAGTGAAGTACTGTTGCACAGCGAAACTCACGCAGGTCGCAGTTGTTGTTTCGCAGCCGAGGTGTGATATAGGCAAGACGCTTTTACTATAAACTGGAGCGGATGTTATTTTTACACGTTCCCCCCATTTTCCCTAATATTAAATTGCTTAAGAAAAATAATGGACGACAGGGCACACGAAATACTTGTTTTTCCTTATTGGCCTTCACATCCCTGGTTCCCCGTATTACAAGGTTTATAAGTACCAGATTTTCTGTTCTTGCGCCCTAATAAGAATCTTTTACGATTACACGCGAGCCTAACATTGGGTGTCACGAGGCTCTCCGCCAAGCTTTTCCCTGAAGATTCCTACTAGAGGCCTACCATTCAACCTCATGCTACCATCGCTCTCCGATAGACAAGGCGGTGGTTTTGTGACAACAGAAATGTTTTTGGCTGACCAGTTTAATGGCGGCTGTTCATATGGAAGTCTCAATTCTCATAGATCGGCGCTATTATTACTTCTCGGAAACAATATTGGTTCAGATAAACATGTCAATCGATTGCTAAAAGAGCTTATAAATTAAGGCCAAACTTTCCAAAATATACACAGACCTGGGACTCTCAACGTACTTTAAAGTACGTTACAGGGTGGCATCCGAATACGACTTTAAATTTGGAAAAAAAATACAAAGAACTTAGCAATTTTATTAGCCCTCTGTACAGCCCTTAGAGTACAAACCCTATCATGAATTAAAATTGTAAGATATATCATTTACTCACAATAACGCTAAGATATTAATTACTGATATAATAAAGACTTCAGTCCCAAGCTGAGAGTGAACTGTACTGAATATTTGCCCAGCTACCGTTTCTAAAGATTATATTTCTGTCACAGAAAGTAAAAGAACGAAACAGAGGAAAACTGTTCCTCACTCACAAGCAACCACACAGACCAGCCACGACATAATCAATCAGTCGATGGATTAAACAAGTGCTCTCGGAGAGTGGAGTCATGTTGGCGCACACAGCACTCGTCACACCTCTACCTCTACCTCAGCTGCGGGCCGGTCTCAGCATTGGTGCCATCCGTAAACCTACTGGATGGACTCCTTCATCGAAAACTTTTGTTTGATTTTACAATAGAACCCTTGTTGATGAGGGGAAGTTTGCAAGACCCGCATGCCGTACGTTCAATCATTAGTTTAAAATTTTTTTCTGTATTCATAAACACAAAAACCAATTTTTCAAATTATCGTGATAACATTTTTTGTACGATCAATTAGTAATAAATATATTAAGTTAAGCAGAAAAAACTTTGTGCTCTAAAATTCTACCTGGTGAACATTTATATCCGAAAAATGAAGCGACGAAATATAACATAAGATCAAACGAACTTCTCAAGTGAAGTTTGATTATTATTATATGAACTGCTTCATTTGAAGATATAATCCATTACCCCCTCAATAGCAGTGGTTTGATAGCCCTGATACGGAAAGCTTTTCTCTGCACTTAAAAAATAATGAGTTCAGAATGGCGACTCTCTCCTTCTTCGAGTCGGCGGTGGTAGGGGTAAGTCGGTTCACAGCCAAATTCAGTTTAGTCAGTTGAGTGTCTTTTCAAGCGTGCATAGAGTCACCTGTAGGTTAAGGGGACTCCTTCGTGAACATATATATTTAATAGTGGTGAGTGGAAGGACGCGGTCTTTCTTGCGTAATGTGTTAGACTTTATGGATGAGGAGAGTATACATCAATTGTGTATATCTTCTTTCTCAGTGGCTGGTATATTGGAGGCCAAAACTCTTCTCTTCGAGTCGATACCATCTGCAAGAAAGATGCCGCTTCGAAAAAAGGGTGGGAAGATGAAAATGTCAAAGGACGTTAGTGATATGATTGCCCTGATGAAAAGTGCTGATCCTGGAATTTTTCCGATTTTCGTAGCCAAAGAACTTCATAAGCTCCCGCCGGTCACCTTTGATCATGTAGATTTGATACGATTCCTAAGGGGTATTTTATGCTTAAAAATCAAATGTGTGTTTTGGAGGAGAAGGTAGTTAACCAAACAAAGTAAAAATTCGAAATGCTCAAGCAAGAGGTAGACCATATAAGACGTATGTGGCCATAGAAGGAAAAGGTGAGATCTCCCGCCAAGCAAGGTGTTCTGCCCGGGGAGCGGCCAACACTCCATGTGATAGTTCGGAAATGTTCTATATATACTGTTCATGATTCGGAATTGCTTACCGCCGTTTTATAAACTTTGGTGAAAAAAGGCTCAAAAATCGTGGATCTGTCGAGGAATGATATCTATGTACTGTGGATAATACACAAACAATAAAATTCATTAGCTTCAACTGCACGAATGTTATGATTTCTTATATTTACTCGCACACTACACATTTTTAATAGGTTTATAATTCACAACGTTTCGGGTGCTTTCCAGTTACCATGGTCACGGGGGACTGAGGTGACTGACGTCCCGATGTCAATGTTAACCCGAAGTACCTTCAGCTTTTTAATTATTGTTTAATGGTGTGCTTATCGGTGTCGGTGATAGCATGTAGTGTCTCGTGGCAATATCAAAATAGTTCTTAAAGAGAGGTCGTTTTCTGGAGTGTCAGTGTATATGCCAACTGATTCAAGTCAAAATATACCGGAGTTTACTGAGTTTCACTCAAGGTAAGTGCCATTCTAGAGAACAGCGGTGTTGAATCCGCGTACATAATTGGTGACTTCAGGCACATCCAGGTGAACGGTTTTATTATGAACTTATTAACTCTTGTGCTGAACAATTTCAAATGTTATCTTTATAATCTCCGTATCAGCTACTCTGATGACTTTATGCGAACCATAGTTGTGCCAGTTATTAAGAACGAATCTGGGAGGGACTCCATCGGACTTGACAAATTACAGACCAATCTCACTGGCTACTGTGGTGGCTAAGTTGCTGGATAGTTTGCTTGATCAACACTTAAGTGGTCATTTAGAATTTAATGAGGCACAATTTGGTTTTCAACCAGGTCTGTCCACCAAAAGCGCTATCTTGTGTCTCAAGCTAACTGTCAAATACTACACTGATAGGAATACTCAATTTTTTTCCTGTTTTCTTGACTTTTCCAAGGCCTTCGATTTGGTGTCATATGACTTATTAAGAAAAAAAAAACTTCAAAATGATACTGATGTGATTTGCTGCACGAGTTAGTCGCGGTGCTACGATCGTGGTATGAGCGGCAGACCAACTGTGTTAGATGGGCGAGCTCATACTCCGATGTATATAGGCTTGAATGTGGAGTGAGGCAAGGTAGTCTTACATCTCCTAGGCTCTTCAATATGTATATTAATGGCCTGATCGAGGAGTTAAGCGGAACAAATGTAGGCCGTCATATTGACGGTGTACGTATCAATAACATAAGTTACGCAGACGATGTGGTACTGCTCATCCCTTCATTTGGTGCAATGCGTAAACTATTAAAAGTATGTGAAGCATATGCAGTATCCCATGGACTCAGATACAATGTGAAAAAGAGTGTTCAAGGTAGGGGTCAAATCCCGACCAAGTGCGACTACCTTCACACTCAGGAACTCACCTATAAAGCGTGTCTAATATTTTAAGTATCTAAGTCACTGGGTTAATGAGTTTAATAGTGTGTCGCAAACTAAGAAAAATAAAGAAGATAAAGAAAGTGATGACGCCGATTTGTTTTTTAAACTTCTGGCAAAACAGCTCAAAGATTTCTCTAAAGACGAAAGAGGAGAGATGATGTACGAAATACACGGATAAATATTAAACAAACGTCGTCGCTGCCACGGTCGAGTGTTTCAGCCCATTATTTCGCCTTCTATTTACAACCGCAGTTCATCAGCACACAGCTCTCCGTACTCAAATGAATCGCTGCTATGAAACATTATCTCTCCGGTGTCACAACAGCCTTCTTTGTACTCTGATGTTTCTCCACAAATAATAATCAATTGCCCTTCATCATCACGCAGCTCCTACACTATACAAACGCCACCATAAAACTTCAATCAAGAGATATCACATCAGACGTTACCTATTGATCAACAGCCTACTCAATACTGATACTTATCTCCTACACAAATGTTAATTAACCGCCCTTCGTCATCACGCAGCTCCTACATTACACAAACGCTTCAACAAAACTTCAATCAAGAATTATCGCATGAGTCTTTACAATGTTCAAATACTATCTCAAGAGACGTTAACTTTGAACAAATAATACCTTGCAAGAAGCATTTGAAAAAGCGACAACGGAACACGAATGAAGAAAAGATTTACTTACGAGCATACGTTGAATTTGAAAGTTAAAGTTAGAGCCTATATATAAACGTTCCACTGTTGGGCACAGGCCTCCTGTCATTTCACAGAGGGTTTTTAGGCCAAGGAAGTATCCATCGAGCAGCCACGAAGCGTTTTGGTGAACTTCACATGTCTTCGATAATTTTTTTTCTTATTTCTCAGACATGCATGTTTCTTCACGTTATTATCCTTCACCGCCGAGCACGTGGTAAATCAGCACTTAAAATTGCAATTAACAATTTCATTGGTGTTGACGGCGATCGAACCCGGGTTGCTCGCGTTACTGTAAAACTTACAGCGAGCGCTAACCATCTGAGCTACCACGGCTCCTGTGTATTTATTTTGAATTTTATTTTGTTGCAAATACGAATTTTATAACATTAAGCACCTTAGTCTTTGATTAATATAAAGTAGTTGTATTGGCATAAAATATTTTTATTTGCTTTACTAAATACTTTATAACTTTATTGTGC